CACTCGTCAATCGGGAAGCGCTCCTTTTTTGGCGTTGTGCACGTCAGGGAGGATTCCTGCTTCAGTCATTACAATGATGTCATCGACGTGGGTGAGCAACAGCCCTCTGGTCTTCCAGGCTGTGTCGCAGAGGTGGAACAGGCAAGGATCGATGGGGTTTTGCATGAACTTCCATTGTTCTTGTCCCATCTCCAACTCCAGGTCCAACAGGTCGTTGCAGAGTTTCAACCACCATAGCTTGGGCGATGTTGAGAGTCCGAACACCCCCTTGAGGACTTCAATGATTTGTCCCGGCTCCAATGTAGGTATGCCTCTCTTGGCAGCTCTGATGTCTCCAACGGAAACTTTCCATCCTCTGGCCTGTGCGACCTGCAGTGCCAGGATGATGGATGACCGTGGAATGATCCGTGGCCATCTCGATTCGTTGAGGTCTGGATCGTGTTGTCCTGCCACACACAGCCTGGCTTTGGCCTTCAGCAGAAGCTTGGCGTCCAGCTTCCTCTTGGCATGGTTCAGGAATCTCTCCGGCGGCACGGTCTTGTAGACCTCATCACTTTCTTCCAAGGACAGTGGCCGAACAGCTTGGAAGTCGACATGTTCCTTCCATTGCTTGAGTTCTGCCGCCTTGTACTCTTCTCTCTCTTCCGGCGGTATGAGGTGCCACGGTAGTTCTTTTTCAAGCTGCTTTTCTTTACCTCTCTTGGAGATGGCCTTCTTGGTGAGGTAGGCTTGATGCGTCTTGTTCTTCTCAACCAAGCTTTTCTGTGGTGGTGAAGGCTTGATGGGCCGCTGCGGTTTCACAACTGGTTCTTGGCGTGCGATGTGGCCGCCATAGCTTCATCCACCTCAAAGCTGAGAATGGCATGGTCCTCGACAAGCTTGTTCCAAATTTCCTTCCAGGCTCCTCCGTGTCGTTCTGCAACTCCATTTTGCCAGTGTGCTTGGCCGGCCGAGCTCCGCACGATGACAGACCTGTCGGGTAGCACTTGGAGGAAGACGTCCTTGAAACCTGAAGGTCGATCAAGAGTTGCGTTGGAGCTCCGGCCCAACTGACCCAGCCGGAAATCAATGCCTGAGATAGTGTCTCTGAGGTGGTGTTCTTGACCAGCGCCACCACCTGGTATGTAGAAGCCAGGTCCACCATGTTCAGTGCTTGGAGGCTTGTCTCATCGATGGTGTCCACCCAAATGACGTCCACTGCCACGACCTTGTTGAAGTCAAGGGCCGCTGCAGGGTGTGTCACCTTGGCCGATTTGGCCTTTGCGCTCTTCTCACACGTCCGGCAGGACAATTGTTCTGCGGCACGGATGATGTTGTCGCTTGCGCCACCCAAGCGTAGACGCCGAACAAGTTCACGTTGAGGTGGATGTCCAAGGTTTTGGTGGATTCGTCTCAGCGTTGCCGCCACGATCGGTTTGACCTTCCCTTTGAATGAAATGGCCTCCGCTCCCCGGGGATCCTCTTTGGCGGCCTCATCACCGGGACTGCCTCGGTGGGGTAGTTCATGTGGGGCTCTTTGCCTCGCTGATGATCATTCTCAAAGGCCCGGACCACTGCCTTGGCAAAGTCCACCGGGTAGGTGGCCGAAGCGGCCTCCCCCTGCGATTCTCGATGACAACCAGGCCGCCCAAAGACGACGTGGCTTATACTTCCAGATGTCGTTCACCACCTCTTCTTGGGTCTCCACGCACCGCAAGTCGTGGTTATACTTGAGGTCTCTGGGCTCCAGGACGGTTTTCTTCTTCTTGGCGAATGCTGCCGAGATGTTGGCATGACCTGCAAAGAGTTCCAAACAGTCTGCACGATCATCTTGTGGAAAATGGTGTTGAGGTTGCAGCAGCGCCCATGCATCGTAGGCCGGAGCCCCCATCCATCACTTCTTGCGACCAAGCTCCAACGGCGGCGGCACATACGGCCATCACTGTGAAGAGCTGTGACACTGCATCCCTGACCTTAGCCCTTGTGCCACGGCCTTGAAATCGCCGTCGCCTCATACCAGAGAGAGCCCTCTCCCAAGCCTCGGCATTGGACAGGGGCGTCCTTGATCTCGGCGACTCATTGCCAGGCCGCTCTGATCCGCTGGTGGTCGCATTGTCGTCGTCAAGGATCGCTGCCATGGCCTCTTTCGGGGAGTTGTTGGCACCGTCCATATACCCGTTCTCGCCCCAACCTTCGCTATCAGTCTCATCGATGACAATTGGCCTTGACTTAAGGGCTGCATCCCAGCTCCACGATGTTCTCGAGGATCTCCGTCGGAGCTGTCGTCGCTGTCCAAGTAGATCTCGCTGTCCAAGTAGATCTCCGGTGGCCGAGCGCTGGTCATCAGCGCTTCTTGCCCGCCACTCCTTGCTTCTTCTTCTTCTTCTTCTTCTTCTTCTTGTTCTTCTTCTTCTTCTTCTTCTTCTTCTTCTTCTTCTTCTTCAGGGCGGACAGCTGCGCCTCCAACGCTGCAATCCGGTCGGCCTGATCCTCCAGGATGTCCTCGGCGATGTCCGTGGTCAGGTCGACCTCCTCCAGCTTGCGGTTGGCCTTCTGTGGAGAGGGTTTGGCCCGCGAACCATCGGAGCTGCTTGCATAGCCTGTGGGAGGCGGCGGCGGCACCACTGCGATCGCCTCGGGGTCCCTCCCCACATCGGATGTCTTCGGACGAGCACCCGCTTGGGACCTGCCTTCCAGGTCTTGCACCCCCCAATTCGCCAGCCGGACCAAATCCTCGTGGGCGTTCGGGTTGTTCTTCACCTCCCGGTTGGCCCACTCCAGATAGGCGACTGGCACCTCGTGGTACGTCCATCCTTAAGATTCCAAAGGAGGAAGTGAACACACGGGAAGCCCCAAAGCGGAAAAACTCCTCGCGATCAAACACGTTCAGCTCAAAGCCAAGGGCTTGTGCCATGTCGGCATAGCGCTCGAACCATGAATGCCCAGCGACAGTTCGAGCGCAGGCCGTGTCAACGATGGCGTCATGAAGCCTCATTCTCGGCCGTCACATAGCAGGAGTGCACCGCGTCACAAACCTGTGCGGAATGCACAGTGACCTGGGCTTCATTGGGTGCAGCAGCAGGTCCAGTTGAACGACCTCGTAGTGGGCATTCAGGGTCTTTATGCCAATGTCCACGTCGCTTGCAGGCCGAGCAATACGATCTTCGCTTGGCCAATTGAAGTTGCTCAGCCGACCTCTTCTTGATCTCTTCCATGTCAGCACCACGGCCCTTCAGGGCCTTGCGGTACTTGGATTTGGTGTCCTGGTAGGTCATATAGGCTTGGTGCTCTTCGCACGCCACCTCCTCAGCAACCAAACCATCTTCATCGGCCGGGGCCTCTTCTTCGCTGCTTTCCTCAACCTGGTCGGTGATGTGCACCGTGTGGCGCCATTTTCCCCCAAAGCGGCCCTTCCCACCTCCGGCCTCCGTGGAGCTCAAAGTGGGTTTCCTCAAAGTACGATCTTGTAGAAGGGCGGCTTGCTGGAGCTTTCGAGCATCAAACTGGTTGTTGACGCTGGACAACAAAGTGAGCTCTTCGTGCTCCGTCACCCTTACCTTGTCAAGGTACAGCCAACCCTTGACCAGGGCTGGAAGTTCACATTGTACCTCACGGCGTCGGAGCACCAACCTTTCAAACTCAACATTGAAATCCCTCACCGACTGGTCAGGGCGTCTCTTGCAGCGGCGGAAAAGGTCGCCCATCATGTTGGAGACTTTGGTGATCTCTACCTCCATGAACCTCGTTTGAACCCATTCCAAAAAGTAGGAGACTCCGCTATCTGATGCTAAGACATCAACATCCAGTTCCTCGGCATAGACCCAGGCCCGGCCAGTCAGCTCATTGTATAGGGCGAGTGCTCGACGATTGGGTGCGAGTTTGGTGCACCTCAACCAGACCTGGACCTTCCGGATGTAGGAGCGAGCGGAACGGCCAAGGTCCTGTTCGGAACCGGACTCACCGTCAAAGGAGGGCACGATGATCTTTTCAGTGGGTCTTCCCCGGTTCTGCTCGGAGGTCGACCACCCATCCCACTCGTGCGGATCATGCCCAGTCCGAGTCCCTTGGAGACCTCGGTCACGACCATGGGTGCCAGACCGCCTGCCGTTGACGATGTCGACGGTGTTGTTCACCTGTGCAGTATGGAAGTTCCTAAGCTGCGAGTCGGTCAGCCATGCATCGGTGGTGCCCTCCCAGACCCAGAGTCGGGGGATCACTCCCTGGCTCTGGTCCATGTCCAAAAGGGTCACCGCCATGATCGTGATCATGTAGCAAACCAGGGCGCCACACTGGGCGCCATGAACCCATCCTGGAAAGTTGCCAGACGCTCCGCCGTACCAATCTAAAAGGCCATGAACGGCGAACGAAAGAAACAGTGAGCGGCACCGCGCTTTTCTCAAACTCGCTTGAACCCTTGTGCCTATCAGGCATGTAGCAAACATGTCTACACAGGGTGAAGCAACGAAAGCTGTTCTTTCACAATGTCATTATATAAGTGTCCTCTGCACCCACACCCCATAAACAATGACTTACAGTACTTTGTGCAGACTTCAGCCACACATAGCTTGACTGGTTTTACGGCTGGCGGTGTGGAAGGCAACCTTTGTATACAGCTGATCAATGCTATTCGACCAGTGCGGCTTAATGATGCAACCTTTTTGCTCCTTGCGAGGGGGGGTTGACGGCAGACTAGATAGGTCCGAAAGGTAGGTGAACTGAAGGGCACATCAATAGACAGGAGCATAAACATAGTAAGCCGAGCTCTCACTCTGGTTGGTACAATTTTGCTGGTGGTCAAGCGGTACACATATTCCCCGCGAGTGAAGCGCTGGGTTCTTGAGGGTGGTTACCTGTGGGCAATGATACTTTGACGGTGGTGAACTAGAGCATCTAGTGGTGATGAGAAGCCGCTGATGACCATGATACCTTTTGACCAACTGTCAAGTGTGTGCAGAATAGACGTAGTCGTAGATGGTTACTGGCTGGTCTTCGTTGTCTTTAAGAAAGAGTTTTGTCCTGTCCTGAAGCTGTCGCGACAGCTCGCCCTTGTTGTTTACCAGGACCAAGTGACTGCAAGTCATGCACATCATCGCAATTTGGCCGTCAAAGGTGCTCCCTTCAGAACCAAGTGACAGCAGACCTTCGGAATCAAGTACTAGCACAGGTCGCCCAGAATCGCTCGCAAAGTATGATGCATACAAGCCACGAGTGCAACGTCCAGAAGAGACTGCAAAACCACTGCCAAACAAAAAATTCAGTAAAGTGGACTTGGCAGAAGATTGAGCACCAATCACCGAGACAACAAAAATGCCTGGCGTTTGAGGCGCGCCAATGCTTGCCAGAACGCTCCGCAAGAACTGACCTGCCATTTGTAGAGGGCGGCTGTGCAAAACTTGGAAAGGCTGTCCTGATGCCAAAAGGGATGCCCAACATGTAGCAGCTCTACTGAAACCACCACTTGTTTTCTGAACAGGGTCAGCCAAGTCTTCTCGTGCTTCGCGCAATGCCAGAAGTTCAAGCTCTGTCCAAAATGTATCACCACTGAAATCGAGTTCTGCAAGTTGACCCATCACTTCATTTAATTCAGCAGGCCCAGACCCTGCCCCACTTGGTGTTTTTGGTCCACCTGTCTCCTCAGGCTCCCTTGGCACGTGGACTCGGCCCACAACAGGGGCATCGGTCAACTCATCAAGCAGTTCACGCTGGCGACGAAGCAATGGCTGAACCCTTGGCAATTTCCAGGCATCTAGGTAGTGACCCATCTCAGCAATTGCAGACAAGGGGTTCTTGGAGGATAGGCAACTTTCAAAAAAATACATGGCCTCTGACTTTGACGCTGACTGAAACTCCTTGCCGAGTTCTGCAATTTGGGCGGCCCGTGCTTTCGCTAAATCTTCTTCTCGTCGCAGCTCTTCTAGTCTGGTGCCAACTTTGGGGGCAACATCATGACAAAGAGAACGAAGCCGCCTACACGAGCCACAGAACAAAAAAGCAATCAGAGATACAGATGCGTAACCTATATGCAGTATGCAGCTACGCAGATTTTTCTTGCCAACTCTTTTTCAACTTAGCGCTAAATCCATTCAAAACAAAATACTGCAGTTTGTTTCTTTTGGTAGTCTCATGGGAGGTCTATTCAAATTTCCGAATACCCATGCCCTGCATGTTAGAAAACCGTGCAGGCCCCGTGATGGAGAAACTTAACTCCGGTGTGCAGTCACGAGTGATGAGTGCGACTGGGGCTCGCACAGGCACGAATATGTGTGATATGTTTGTACATGTGTGGCCGTACGGCGGTGCCATCAAGTCAATATGTAATAGAGTGATACGAAAAATGAAAAGCACCACGCGCTCTTTTCAGCGCACAGATTTGGGCCTAGATACATAGCGTAGTCCTAATGCACACCTGATGCTATCATGCCTTATGACCTTTCTGCTAGATTCAACACGGCCCCCATAGCGTCAGGTATGCAGTGTGTGTACGGTTTGAGGGCTCTGACACATGTGCTGTTCACAAGGTGTCCACACCCCTGCTCGTGGAAACATGAGCTCGTTCTGCCCACGTACCAGACCTTTCGGTCTAAAGTGAACTTTGCCTCTTCCAGTCGTTCCCTCAGTTCATCTTGTCCCTGTCTCTGGCATTCCGTGACCCGCTTCTTCCACATTTCAACAACTTCCCATGCTCGGGCCACATCTTCTGCCATCTTCTCCATTTCTTGGGCTCGTTCATCATCAGTTCCGGCGGCCCGGATGGCTTTCTTTCTTGCCTCATCTCGTTCCTCCTTCACTGCTTCAAGCTCAAAGCGTAGCTCGGAGCACATGTTGTACATTCTCACCACTTCACGCGTTTGACGATCGCGTTCTTCTCGAGCTTCTTTCAATTTCTCTCCTTGCTCAGCCACAGCCACCTCTAGATGAACTATTTGCCATTGCATGTTCACCTTCTCGGGATCATTCTCATAGTGCGGCTCTTCCGGTTGTCCTGCGGCTTCTTCCGGCTCTCTTCTCACATGCGGATCACCCGCATCTTCTCGTTCTTCAACTTCTCCTTGTCGTTGCACGGGATGCTGATGGCCTCGTCCTCTGTTGAACCATGTCTGCAATGTCTGTAGGGTCATCCGTGTCAAGCTCAAGGCCCCGACACTTGCTAAGCAGATCACGGTGACCAACAGCCGAATCCACCAGGTGTCCGTGCCCTCGTTCTCTTCAACCTCGAACTCTCCTGTCTCTGCACCCTGGGCCCCCTTGGAGTAGGGACAATGCAACCACCACTGCAACTCTTGCATTTGCTCCTAGGGTCTTGGCCAGCTTGCCTGTGTTCTTCTTCAGGTCCTCCTTCATCTTTATCTCCTGGTACTCGGCATACCCAATCTTCTCGTCATCTCCATTGACCATCTTGATGAGGTACTTCAATCCACTCATCCTTGCTTTGCTCAAGACCTTCGTGCCGATGTCACTGGTGTTGACTGCCGCAGGAATTCCAGTGACCCTCAACTCTTTGGATCCTACCTTCTGTTGCAGCCATAGGAGTCCTGCTGCAATGTGTCGTGTTCTTCCGACACCCACTCGGCCAGCCAATGATCGAGCTGCTGACGAGTCACTGCGGCACACCATCTCCAGGTCCTCGTTGGTCAGGAACTTCCAGCAATGTTTGATGAACAGTCCCTCGCTGCAACCTCCAACCATTGCCACATACTGGCTTTCTCCTGATGACAAGGCAATGGATCGCTGGGTCCTCACATAACTCTCCAGGAGGCATCCGTCCAAGTAGATCTGGACTGAGCTCACGCTCTTCCTGCTGTCTCTCTGCCCTGCATAGTCAGCATCACACACCACTTCAAGCATGCCCTTCACATCGTCATTGATGTCCCACTCATAGACATTCTCCTCAGTATTCAGCATGCTTCGGCCTTTGGGTCCATGCTCAAACAAAAGGCCTTCATCTATGGTACCTAGCAGGTACGAGCTGACGTGTCTCATGGCCTGCCAGCTCTTCTTTGTGGGCTTCTGCATGAATGCTGCCAGACCTTGGGCAATGTACTGCACATCAGGTCGATCTGGGGCAATGTAGAGCAACTTGCCAACTGCACTCCGGTAGACGGTGATGTCGTTGTAGTCCAAAGGATCATCTTCTTTGCTCAGCTTGGTGAAGTTGCCGTCTCCGGGTGTAGACCTGCATTTCCTCTGCTCGACCTTGGTCAGTCGCGCAAGCTCTTTGATGTGCTGCTTGTCGGGCCGGATCGTGATGCCTCTGTCAATCAGCTCCATCTCCCTCTTCAAGTAGTTGAAGCCACCTGAATACAATGGCCACGCTTCTCCGTTTTCCAGCCTTTGGTCTCCATATACTTGATGAACTTTTCCACTTCAGCTTCATGGCCAATCAACAGCAAATCGTCCACGTGGATGGTCAGATAGAGCTTGCCCTCTTCGTTCACCTCATTTGGACCATCAGGCTTCTTCATCATCGTGGGCTGCATCACATCCTGCACCAACCCGAACTCCTTTGCCACCCTGCAGAACCCTTTGAACCACTGGGCTGCAGCGTTTCTCTGACCTGGGAGGTTTCTCTTCAGCCTGTAGGCGCCGTTCTCGGTCACGATCATCGCTTTCTCATCCTCAGGCTGGTCCATGAGCAAGAATGCATCCTTCACGTCCAAAGTGTAGAGAGCCAGGCCGGTCTTCATCTGCAAGCGGAGGAGCATTCGTACCACCACTGAAGCTGATGTAGGAGCGAAAGCATCCTCTGTGAAGACTGACCACTTGAACTGTCTCCCAACCAAGCGTGCCCTTCTGAACCAGCCGCCTTGTTCATCTCGATGCTTCCAAGTGATCACCATTTTGGATGTCAGGACATACGACTCCTCATCGGCAGCTTCTCCTTCCTTCAACTTCTCAAGAACACCCATCTTCTCAAGGCGCTCTTCTTCATGCTTGCATGCCTCCGCATCCAGCTTCTTCAACTCCTCTTCATCAACTTCAGGAGGCTTTCCTTTGCTCATGTCGACGTCTTCATCGTCACTGACACCATTGAGCTGCTGCTGCAACACCTCCTCGGCCACCATCTCGTCTCTTCCAGGGAATTCCTCTTGGACGCTCTGGATTCTCCTCTTTGGGCTCATTCTTCTCTTTTCATCATCTTCATCGTCCCAAGGCAGAGCATATTCTCGCTTCGTTCCAAGGGGAGGTGTCACTGGTGCAAGGTTTCCAACAACCTCTTCCATCCTCTGCCTCTTCGGACTTGTCTCCACCTCGTGAGGTCCTGGTGGAAAATTCCGCGCTGGCTCACCCCTCATGGCCTCGGGGATTGGAAGCCTCACCACCTTTCTCTTTGGACTCTCGTCCTCCTCCAATGCCAGCGGGATTCGAGGGAGCTCTCGAGGTACCAGCGGTCTGTCACTCTTGTCACCTGATGGTGCCGGACGTGCTGGTGTCTTGGGTGCGACCGCTGCTGCTGGTGTTGCTGGAACCGGCACAATGGTTGGTGTTCGAGCTGCTGTTGTCTTTGGTGCCGGAGTTGGAGCCATGGGTGTCTTACCTGGAGTCTTGGGGTACCCATCTGGAGGAACACCTGGTGTGTTTGGTCCTGCAATGGGTCCATGGCCATACATGCCAACAGCCACTTGTTCCCCGATCAGCTTGGCCTCCTTTTCCACCTGCTCGTCACCCACAGCATCCTCTGCTGCGTCTGCCAGTCGTTGACGTGCTGCAAACTTCGTCTTCATGAGGATGCCTTGCACGGAGTACTGCCAAGGGAGACCTCGGCAGTTGATCAGCGTCTGGCCATCAAACTGATCAGGTAATCTTCGAATGGATCGAGCCTCAACTGCACCACTCCTCGTCAGGCAAATGTGGCTATCACTCCAGGAACTCTTTCCAACCCATACTCCTTTCCTGTACACAGGCTCACCCTTGTGCTTGAAGGCTGTGACATCCTTGAAGAGCACCGTTTCTCCCCAGAGAGCTACTTTGCCCACATAGCGCCTGTCCGTCAACACCTCAAAGGACGTAGCACCATTAATCACCCTGTACCTGAGCATCAGCCATGCAGCGTGTCGAAAGCTCCACGGGTAACAGTGCATATCTCCAGTCAGCTTCACACCAGACTTCTCCTCAGCAAACTGCCGCAAGGTGTTTGCTAACTTCCTCACTGACTGCACTGTCCTCTCTGCTTGGCCGTTGGATGCATGTTGGTCCCGGGACGTTATCCTAATCTCGGTGGTCAGGCCAAGAGTGGCTCGAGCATGCTGGATGGCCCTCAGGATCTGGCGTGTAGCTCGCTCTCCATCAGACTGGAAAATGATGGGCTGGGTGTTGCAAACCTGCATACTGAACCTGGTGAGCTCTTCTGTCACTTGTTTGAGGGAAGCACTGCCTTTGGCTTGCACCGGGATGCACATCGTGGCCTTGGACTCGGACTCTGCCACATACAATGCAGTGCCCCATTGTCGATCCTCCGGAACACCAGTGGTGTATGTGAACCCGTAGTCGAAGCTTATCACGGGTCTTCCTCGGTCCTTTCGATCAGCTTGATCTTCTTTTGTCCTGGGATCTTCTTTCGACCGAGTGGCGACACATTGTTGGCACCAGGACTGAAAGGGCAGGTGCGTGAGCTGATGAAGCTCTTGCTCATGGCGGCTTGGTAGCTTTGGTGTCTTCAATGGAATGGCTTCTCGCCTGCTTTCACTGAACAACCTCTGGGCGATCTCATAGGCCATTTTCTCCTCCTGGTGGTGTTTGTAACTTTGAAGCCGCCGCAGCACCTTGATCTTGGAACCAGATGTTGCCAAGCCCAATTGTTTGCACGCTTCCTGCAAGTCCTTCAACTTTGTCTCCTTGTCAAACCAGGCCTCATCTATCTGGATCCTCAACTCGTCGGGGTCTATGAGGGCAGCATCTTCCAAGATCTTGATCTTTGCCTTGTTGTCCAGCTGATGCGGTCTTGTTCAACTCTTGCCCTTCTTGGTCTTCTACCTTGTTCACACGCTTCGGGCTCCAGCACTCCCGAGCAAAATGCCCAGGCCTTCCACAATTGGGCATACTCCATTGCCACCCTTGCCTTTCTTACCATCTTGCTTTCCTGAGCCCTTCGAACTCTTGCCGCCCTTCTTGCCTCCATCTTTGGACCAGGAAGTCTTCCCCTTTGAACTCTTTCCTTTGTCCTTGCCTTTCTTTCCTTTCTTGCCACCCTTCTTGCCTCCTTTCGACCATATGGCGTCGATCTCCATGGGTTCTCCTTGATCTCCTTGGTCCATCAGAGGCTTCACACCCATTTGCAGGCCGCCTTCACTGGTCCAGCGTTGACTCACCTGCTCATACATCTCAATCCGCTGCCTCAAGTCCTCAAACGTAGTGTCATCCTGCAGCGTCATCTGTATGTGAAGCCTGAGGGTGGCCGGCAAGGCTGACAACACCGAGGCAATCTTTAGGTCGTCCGGGTACGTGACGTTTGCACTGCGCTCATACTCCCTGACCATCAAGTCATACTGTGGCAGCTGCTCGGTCACGGTCTTCGTCCCGTCAAACTGGATCTTGTTCAGGGACTGGATGAGTGCAAGTGAGCGCTGCCGTGTCTTCGGTTGAAGGTCCTTGGTGATCACCCGCCAGGCCTCGAGACCATTCTGGTTGGTCACACCTCGCACCAGTCGGAGGGGTCTCTGCTTCATGAGGCCTGTCAAGAGGGAGTACAACCTTTCTGACTGGGACCTGACCGAGGGAAGTCCATCGTTGATGGGGTTTTCTTCCTTCTCGGCATTCTTCATGTGGGACAGCATGGATGGATCAACTGCTCCTACGAAGGTCTCAAACTGGAATCTCCAATCCATCCACTTGTTGAGCTCGTCACCACGGTTCTCTGGGGCAAACATCGAAGGGGGTTTCAAGTGTTTCGTGAACCCCGAGCTCCTCTGGACATCGATCAAGCCATGCAAGGCTTGAACCAGCCCCTGCACCCCAGTCAGGGCACCACCATTGGACGCCGCCGCAGCCCCACCAGTGCTGTCGGGCTCGGCCGTGTCACCCATGAGCGCGACCCGGATACTAGTCCACTCGGGATTTCAGTGGACCGTCAATCCCCGGTGGTTTGTCCCCCAAAAGGGTCTCCGCTGGAGTTGACGGGGGCTGCCCGTCAGAGCTCCGCTACCATGAAAAGCACCACGCGCTCTTTGCAGCGCACAGATTTGGGCCTAGATACATAGCGTAGTCCTAATGCACACCTGATGCTATCATGCCTTATGACCTTTCTGCTAGATTCAACAAAAAAACAAGATTACTTTCGACGTGCACGTGTTTGTAGAACAAAAGGAACGTAGCGACTGTCCGTTATATCTAGCATCTGTGATCTGAGGCAAGGTGAGATCGAACTATAAAACTAAGGGGAAACCAGGAAGCCGTGAAGCGATTCCTCGTGGTTGATGGAGAAAGGCAGCACCAACATAATTGTATAATGATGTTTTCACTGAGGCGATCCCCTATGACCTTCCAGCACGACTGCTTCAAGATTTGCAAAGTGCCCATATCAACTTGTGATGGGGGTGGCAACAAAACAGTTGGAGTTGAGCCTATATAATGGTCCTGCGCAAAAGTTTTGAGAGCCTACCAGAAGATTGAACTGGACAAGAGTTTGGGCATGCTAACTCACTTTTATTGAGCATCATTGAGGGCAGTAAGTTCAACTACCATGTCGGAAAGGCTGCGTTGATTGGAGGAGGCCGACAGAGCTTGAAAAAAGGACAATAACAATACATTCCAACGATCACAGGTGTTGAACGCCGGCGCTTCCATGCTGAAATGCCTGACGTGAAGAGCACAAGAAGTCGAAACCTTACGAAAGAACCTACCTAGCTCTGCGGATATGTTCTTCAAGTACGCAGTGGGAGGGCACTTTGGGACCCACGATGTCCAAAACCGGCTTTGATGAGGCTGCAAACATGTCAGGAGATAAAGACCTTCGGCACCTAGCGCGGCCCTGAACTGTGAGAGATCTGAAGGTCCTGCACCATCATGCAACATGTACGCGGCCTGTCGGCGATGCAGGTGGGGCGTAATTGTTGAAAAGGCCGGTGTTCATGCTTGCATGCTCCGTCGAGCACATATTTGACAAGAAACCGGGTATGGATAAAGCGTGCCGTTGTACATATCTGCGGGTAGTAACACTTTTTCCCCAAACAGGTTACTGTTGGGGTTCTGTCTTGGAACAAGAGGAGCTGGCCACACTCACTGGCCGCGCCCCTGAATTCTGTGTCTGTGGCTGGGCTCTGTGGCCCGGCTCTGTGTCCGGGGCCCTTATCCTCCTCTTGTCCTTGTCTTGGGCGCGCCCCTGAACTCTGTGGCTGGGCTGCGTGGCCCGGCTCTGTGTCCGGGCCTTGTCCTCCTCTTGTCCTTGTCTTGCTGCGCCCCTGAACTCTGTGGCTGCGCTCTGTGGCCCGGCTCTGTGTCCGGGCCTTGTCCTCCTCTTGTCCTTGTCTTGCCGCGCCCCTGAACTCTGCGCTCTGTGGCCCGGCTCTGTGTCCGGGCCTTGTCCTCCTCTTGTCCTTGTCTTGGCCGCGCCCCTGAACTCTGTGGCCGGCTCTGTGTCCGGGCCTTGTCCCGCCCCCCTGAACTCTGTGGCTGGGCTCTGCGCCCGGCTCTGTCTGGGCCTTGTCCTCCTCCTCTTGTCCTCCTCTTCCCCTTGTCTTGGCCTCGCCCCTGTCTGTGGCCCGGCTCTGTGTCCGGGTCTTGTCCCTTGTCACCTTGTCCTTGTCTTGGCCGCGCCCCTGAAGTCTGTGGCTGGTCTCTGTGGCCCGGCTTACTGCAGAAGAGTGTGGCCGAACAAGTAGCGATGTCGATGCCGACAAAAATGATTGATAAAGCAGTTTGCTCTTGGGGGGAAGGTAGGGCGTACCAAGAAATCATTTTTTGACTAATACTGGTCCGAACGAATCGTTTTAAAACTGTTTTGGGTCTATGCTGGTATAATGTTACTTTTGTTGGGCCGAGGCCCGCGTAAGAATTACAAAACGCTGGCGCCTTGAGTTGTCAGGTTCTTGCATACCAGGACGGAGAGGCATGGCCTGGGTGAAGAGACAATTGGCCGGCACTCACTGAAAAGCGCTTGCTCAAGGATTGTCCGGGATGGTTGCGAGCATTTGGGGTCAACAAGTGGGTGGTTCTGTGACCTCAAGACCCACCGCCCGCTGCACGTGAGAGATCTTGACACCAACGTCATCAAAAAGGAGGAGCGGGCTATGTGTCAAAAGGGCTATGGCTATGTGTCACAAGCCACACGTAGATGGGAAGAAAGGCGCGGGGATGAAGTCAAGAAGCCAAACCGCAACGCCCTCCGGAAGTGGGTTGGCACTTCCCAGCTCCCTGGATGTGGAGCATTCGCCGTGCATGGGTCTCTGTGGAGGGATTTGGCGTCCTGTGCAAGTCAAAAGCATAGCGGCTATATGGCCGGACCTGGCATTTCTAGTCGGAGCCATTTCTGGCTTTGATTGTGTTTTTTCTGAAACACTCGGGCATAGGCGTTTCCATGAGGGCCCTGCAAACTCTTTCGACTTGCATTTCCCCCTTAATGATTTCAGTGAGGCGCTCGGCGAAACCATATTCTAGTCCGTCTTTGTCATGGGGTTTTAACTCCTTTGTGGGTAGGACTGTCAGATCCCCTTTCCCCCAAAACCTGAGAAGGAAAGCCATGCCCCCCCCGCGTATGTGCGACGGGACCCTACTGCATCCGTCGTGTCTACTTGACTTTCTTCGTGCGCCCACCTTCTCCTTCTACTTCCTGCTTTCTCCCTGTAGCTTCGGACAAAGCGCGGCATCGCGGCGGCTCGCGCAACACGGTGGGCGCGTTGTGGAAAGGGCCGTCCGCCTACGAATGCCTGTTGGTTTGGTACGTAATATTTGTGGACCTTCAGAAATGCTTGTATGTACATTTTCTTTGGCGATGGGCGGTTGGAAAATACGCCCGCAAAGACCCATGCGCGAGCGAATTCTTTTCTTGAAGGTTCTGAGGCTTCAGTGAAGAGGCTTCCCAAGGACAAGGGCAACGATGGGCAAGACATCTTTAAATGGTACAAATGGACCCTTTAATGATCTACATGGCCAGTACAAATGGTATTATGCTTCATGATGAACGAACATCTTGGTCGAGGCATGGCACCACTGCTCTGTCCCAGTGTCCTTGACTTCGCTCAGCAGCGACCGGCTTGCACTATGGATGCACGAGTTTGACGGGCTGCAGCCCTGATGAACTCGTTGGCCAAACGCCCAATTCAAGGTTACGTGTCCACCCAAAACAATCACGACGTGTCCATTCCAGTACCCGGCTGTCCTGCATTTTTGACTGTCAGTGAATTCGCACGCGAAGGTCTTTGGGTGAGCGCATTTTTGGTGTTCCGCTGCTCTGTTTTACTACATGTGTGCGCCGACCAGGACCAGCATGGAACATTGGAAGACACAAAGCAACCAGAAGCAAAAGACGAGCTACAGAAGAAGGCCCTTGTTCTGCTGGCGGCCTACTTAAACAAAGGCTGCAAGGACCCTGATGAGCGCACCCCTTGACTTCGCTCGGCGGCGACCGGCTTGCACTGTGGATGCATGAGTTTGACGAGGCTGCACCCCTGATGAAATCGTTGGCCAAACGGCCAGCGGACCCTTCTTCCTGCTTCTTTCTTTCTTTTTCGTTCTGTTCCCCTTCTTCCTGTCTCTTCCTTCTTCTTGCCTATTCCTGCCGCCTCCTCTAAAGCGAAATGTAATAAAAAGATATGCATAAGCAGCAAACACTCACAACGTGTCTTCCAGTACCGAACTTTCCTGCATCTTGCATGACCCTCCTTCTTCGTTTCCTTCTTTTTCGTTCTTTTCCCCGTCTTCCTGTCTCTTCCTTCTTCTTGCCTATTCCTGCTTCCTCCTCTAAAGCTAAATGTAATAAAAGATAACCAAATAGCAATGGCCTCCAACCAAATAACAATGGCCGCCAACCTAACAGCGATGGCCTCCAGCCAAATAGCAATGGCCTCCAGCCAAATAGCAATGGCCTCCA